AGTTTACTTATTTGTAAAGGAAAAGCACATACTTTTGATTGTGTACCAGAGGAGTATGCATGTTTTGCCTTTGGGACATACTTCCTCGTTAACAGATTGTTATGATTCATAGTTAGGCTACATTGCCTGTCATTATCTCGACACATCATCCACATTTCTTTCCTATTTAATTACCTACTACCTGGCAACCTTTTTTGGAGAAGCAGAAGCAGGTTATTCTGTCTTTTATGCAGAGAAATCTCCTCAGGTCTTTGGATAATTATGCATTCAGAAGATAATATCCCAACATATCTTGATATGAGCCTCACATTGTTGTTGCAAATGAAGTATAACACAGGAAATGTGGTTGAAATATTTTCCAGATGGCTAGATATTACTTAATAGTCATTCAAGCAACTTTACCGAAGCCTCTCTACTTGACGGTTGGGTCTCGAGCGTCTGCCATGTTTGTAGTTTATTTTTGCTATTTACTCAAGTTTGAAGTTCTAATTGAATTCACGTCCAACGCTCATTGTACTACTTGCAATATTAGCAGTTAGAGACGATTCTACACTTCGAATGTTTACTGGAAATATTAGGCCGTACTCACACTAGGTACAGTTGCCTCGAACCGGGCCAAAGCACGCTTGTCCCCCCTCCCGTCTCCCCTGACGGCCCGCGCTCACACCATATCGGGCCTCGGCACGCTTACGTCATCGCTGCTGCTCTGTTCAGTGAAGCGCTCTCTATGGCAAGCCTTTTAAGCATTTAAATCTTTGTTCTGACTCCATAAATATATTTAGAGATATCTCTAATTATATTTTGACTGGTCATAATTATAATTCCACTACTCAGAATGACAATTAGAGATATCTGCAATTACAATTGTACTAGTACGAAATCAGTTTTTACTAGTCGTAATACATTTGGAGATATCTTTAATTCGTCATATTTAGAGATATTTACAAATATATTTAAAGATATCTCTAATTAATTTACTAATAGTTGAATTACAGTTGTAGATATCTTAAATTGGATTTTTGACTAGTCAAAATTCAGTTGGAGATATCTCTAATTACAATCGTGACTAGTCAAAACTCATTTAGAGATATCTGCAAATATTTTTCAATGGAAGTCAATGGAGGAATACGACTAGTCAGTCATAATATATTTGCAGATATCTCCAATCTGTCTAGTCGAATTATAATTATGACTAGTCAAAATATAATTAGAGATTTCTCTAAATATATTTATGGATAGTCAGAACAAGGTTTAAATGCTAAAACGGCTTGCCATATGCTCTCACCCAGTAGCACAGTGGAGATTTCTCTAGTTATATCGTTTCAGTCGTTTGTTACGCAGTGATATGCAGTCAGATATTTCGCCAAACAGTCCTTAGGGATGCGGTGACACGCAGTCAGATATTTCACCGGACAGATCCGCCACTTTTGGCACTCATAAACAATTATTAAGCTCTCGTGCTGCAGGAATGAGGAGGTCTGCTGAAGGTGCGCAGCTGTCATGCTGTCAGGAGTTCTCGTCTTTAATAAACTACGGCAGTTTGCGTTCACTGAACAGTAAGAATGATTAATAAATCCATATGAAACAACACTTAAAAGTCACGTCTCGCCTTCAGTTTCGGGCTTTGGCGCGTTATTGCACTCACACACAAGCCCAAGTGTACCGCGCTCAGGCACACCTCCTCCAACCGGGCCAGGGCCGGCCAAGTGAACCGCGCTTGAGCCCAATTCAGCGCACTCACACTTCTCAAACGATCCGGGAAACGGGCCTGGGCACGGTACGGATGGCACAGTGTGAGTAGGCCCTTAGACTGTCTGGGAGTTGGCATACTTTAATCAGCATATTAAGGTTTGGGACATACTAATTGTATTTTCGAATGTTATTTAGGATGGATAGAATGCCAATTGAGATGCAGCAATTAGGTAAATACATTACCAAAATGGCTGACTGCAGGTTTATGTATCATTGATTTATTCTGTCTTTTCAACAGGATATTTTCGGCAGTGACTGGTATTCTCTGCAGCTGAACAGAGTTCTGCGTTGGGCTTTTCAGGATATGGATGTTTATATTCTGGATGTGTGGCAAATGACGGCCTGTCACTACAGCAAAGAAAACATTCATCCAGGCCCCATCATCATCAAAAATGAGATTGATGTTTTACTGTCTTTTATTTGTCCTGCATGAATTAAAATGATCTCTACTGTTTCTTTACTGAACAGCACTGTTTGACTTTGCAGTTTAAATTGTCCCATAATAAACCACTCCTTGAATTTAAAATCTGATGTGTGCATGTTTTAGCTCCCACACTTTGAAATCAAAATTTACAATATTTATTGTATTACTAGCGCACATTGTTATTCTTTAGGTGAACCTTAAATCCATAAAAGTTGATTTACTGAATAAAATGTTTGATTTGGTAATCTTCATTCAAAGTCATTTTGCTTCCGCATTTGGAGTGGCGGTCCTTCTCTATTGATGTCAGTTTGATGGCTTTAGCCACAATATGCCGTGCTTACCAATAGTTCGATACAAAAGAATGGCGTGCAAAAAGAAAGCCCTGTCTCCTTGATTTATTTAGTGGTGGGGGCGGATGGGCAGTTATCAATATGTTACTTTTAAGGTTATCTTCACTAGTAGAGGCGTGCATGAAGGGAACATGCATGACATGTTTGTGAATAAAAGTCAAAGTGCCAAACTGCAGTTATAGTTGAAAAATTAAGAATGAAACACCTGAAATTACACAAAACTCAGGAGAAAAAGTGGATAGCGTGGCAATATTACAATGATGTTAATCGAATTATGTGCTACAACATGTAAAAAGGGATCATGAAAGGATCATTCAAAAAGCATCTCATGTAAACACCTTAATCATAATATTGTCTTATTCAGATTAAGGCAAATAATTTGATTACTGATGTCCATGTAAATGTTGCTGTCTATCTCCCCTGCATCTGTGTTTGTGTTGCTGCTGTGAAAATCAGCACGTACATTTACTGAAACTCCTCTTTTCATGTAAACCCTTCCCTCTTTTGCCACTCAACTCTCCCACCTAAACAAAGCTGGACTCACCCACTTTCCTGACTTTTTTCAAACTAGAGGTGGTAAATCTCCCTGCTGAAACAGGGGGTTGGGGGTTATCTATAAACTAGTGGCTCGTCCTGATTTTGCCAAGTGCTAGTTGTCCTGAGACCAACAAATTTTATGATGACCCAGGGACAACATCTCTATCAGCCAATCAAACGTTATTACGTCATCATTATGAGCCTCCTGCAGAGTCCGCCAAAAGCGCAAATTCAAAAAAGAAAACACACCCACCCACACACAGGCAACTGCCATTTTCACCAGTGAAGAGGACAAGTGAAGAGGTGAGATCACCGGTTTTCTTCTGTAAGTTTACAGATGCAGTAATGATTGTAAAATTCATATGTGTTTGTCCCTTTTTTCCAGCGAAGTGAACGAGCAACGTTTAACTTTTGTTTGCATTAAGTTAGCCTAATTAGCCGTCCCTACCTAACGTTAGATTAGCGTGCTGCTCTACCGTTACTGTGACTTACTTTCTGGTATTAATTAAAACAAGCTAACAGTATTTTTTTGAATATTTAAATCTAGCAAACGTTATTAAACTTGCCCTTTTGCTAATTTAGCGACCTTTTTTCTAATAATTCGGTTTTTAGCATGTATTATGTCAATTTCATTTAAAGACACGCCTGAAATGTGGACCAAAACAGCACTAGTTTAAACACAAGACAGTAACGTTATGTAAGTATTTGCATTTAGAAGTTACAAGCATTCAAAACATATAGTCACTCAAGTCCCCAATACAGACAAGCAGTTATGATGACATCACTCTGCACTTCAGCTTCTCATCAGATCTTCAGTCCAATCAAATGCGCTCTAGAATCTGAAACATCCCAACCGTCGAAACATTTAACAGATGCATCAGTCTTAAGAAAATAAGGATTCTAAAATAAGAGTTTTCACAGTAAAATAAGTTTGTAATTATGGATGGAGATGTCTAAAAAGTACTTACTCACTGTATATTATCTACTGTATAAGACAATGTTTTGTCAGTCTAGAAAAGAACCAAAACAACATCAATCAATATACAGCTCTCAGCTGAAAATCCGTACAAAACAAGACTAGGATAACAGAACATGCCTTTCTGGCTGCATTTTGTGAAGTTTATTCATAAACTAATTTCGAGAGGATCACGTGCTTATGATTGACATGGCTGGCCCCGAGTCAAGCTATTGTACGAACCACCAATCGGACTACTCCTAACCAAGTATAAATAACCAAGCACCTTACCTTTAGCCATCTTCGTCTTGAAGAATTCCCCCTTCCACCCCTTTGCCTCCTCCTTTGTCTACAGGGCTGCACGGCGGCCCAGTGGCTAGCACTGCGGCCTCACAGCAAAATGCCTCCGGTTCGGGCATCTACCCAAACGGTCAGCATTTTCGTGTGGAGTTCATGTTCTCCCCGTGCTTGCGTGGGTTTTCCCCGGGTCCTCCGGTTTCCACCCACACTCCCAAAAACATGACACTTAAGTAAATTGACTAAACCAAATTAGCACCAAATTCGATTCAATTCTGTCAGCAACGCATCACCTTAGCAACCCTCACGCAGCAGGAGGGAGGGGGGTTCTCGAGATCTACCCGAGCTCAAACTCCCCTCTCGCTCTGCAACGGGAGGAAGCCCCGGGCTTGAGGCGCTCATGAGCTCGGGGCTCTCTCCCGGGACAGCATGCCAAACTAGCTTATCAACAATCATCAGCTAAGTGTGAACTCTTGAAATGGCAGTCCGTAATGAATTTATGCCAAATTGGCATGACTAATTATTTTTTCTTTTTTGTTTCCTTTCAAATTGTATCTACAAGATGCTGAATAATGCTTGCTCTTTTTTTAGATAGCTTCCATCTTGGACCAAATTACATAATAATAATAATAATAATTAAGAAGAATTGTAATTTTTGCATTGTTTGACCAATAATTTACTAGTGTTGAATCATCGCAATGAAAACTTTTATGTCATTACTGTTCAATTGATACCATGCTTATCAGCATCACATTCAGGTACAAAAGTCATGACAATAATCTCCATACGAAAAAAAAAAACAGCTGACGACAAAGAAATGTTACATGGCAAAATCTTTTGATTTCATTTCTCCCAAACATTTTATCTGCCTTATAATACACTATAATACATTTTTACACAGCAGGTGTAGGGGAAAAAAAAGAAACCCATGCAAACTTGATAGTGAGCATAAATATATCAAATACAAGAAAAAAGAAGAATACAAATGTGCTTTTGTATTGCCAAAACCTAAAACTTTTCACTTTTTGAGGAAACTTGATAATACTCTAGTTGGATGTTAATAATTACTGTATTACAGTACATTGAAATAAAAACATACAGCAGTGGAAAAAAAACACATATAAATGTAAAAATAAAAAAACAATTATACATCAAAGAAGAATCTCCCATACAGCACATGGTAAAATCAAATTCAATCAACCTTATAAGCCATTAAAAATGATCAGTGACTAAAAACAAACTGTATTTATACAATATAGTCCTTTCCCATAATACCGTTTCATCTAGCACCTTTGGATATAAAGAAAAAAAACTTTAATTTGGGTGAATATCAATGCAGTAGTAGTAAATCAAAAACAAACCAAAATTCAAACAGTTAAAGCAGTGACAACAGAAGTGCTTCTGAGTTTCAAGTACACTTTCGGACCGTCAAAATCCCGAGGAGAGGTAGCGCGCGACCACTCCAAGCCACTATGTGTCTTTGCGTGCCAAATGAATGAACGAGGCACTTTCAAACGAAACATGAATATGATCGTCCACTTTTATTTTGCAATCAAACCTCTGAACTGTCGTTGCTATTGGAGACTTGCGTCATCATTGGTTCTGTGCTGCTAGATCCTTTCGGCGACTCAGTGACGCTCTTTTCTCTTTTAGATCGCACCAAAATGACGATGAGAATAACCAGTAGGATGGAGAAGAGAAGACCGACTAAAACTCCTATGATCAGGACAAGTTGATCATCGCTAGTTTCCCTTTGGTTCAGTTCTCTGGGAATGATACCCTCCGCTTGGGATTCCTCGTGAAGGCTGGGATGTTTCTGAAAGCTGTGGTCCAGCGCTATATGTAAGATGTTTGTGCCGCGGTTACTTTCTACGCTGATATCTTGAGCCAAATCTGGAACGCCGTTTGCTGATCTTTTGGAAATTGAGTGGCTGTGTGTTAGAGAGTGATAATCCAGGCTTCTTTTCCCAATGCCTCGATTGGCGTTCTCTCTGGAGCGGACGGTGTAGATGGTGTGGATGTACCATTCTCTGCCTGCCGAAACCTGGATGGAGTGTTACAGCATTAGCAATAACCCTTGTGTACTGTTCAAATGGACTACCCTTGTTATGTTTGTGGCTGTTTTTGCCCCATTGACTTCAATTACAACAATGTTTTTTGATTGGCCAAATGATCATTCTACATTGTTGGTGTTTTTCCCTGTTGGGAGGAGGTAAAACTTTTCATTTTTATTGTCAATGATTAGTTGCCACTATTAACCCTTTGGATAAGCCTGTGCAAAAAGGTTTCTGACTATTTTATTTAAGTTCTATGGAGTTAAACAAATTATAGTGTACACGCAATAATACACTTACTATGTTCTGAGAGCTGAGGGGCTTATTATCTTATTTTTTTCTCAAACATATCAAAGTGTGCAAAGTCTCTCTCACTATATTCCATATAACCAGTGCTTAATTTGTGAAATGCGAGGTTCCAGAACAGATTGGGGTAACGGATCCCCCATGTTACCTGAGGATGAAGAGGTGTCACACATGAAAGTGGAGGGCCGGGGAGGTGGGGGGTTGGTTGTCGCAGACAAAAGTGAAAAGGGTTGGGGAGTCGCAAAAGAAAGTAAAAGTGAACAGCGGACAGGGGAGGAGGGCGGTTGAGGAGGGCGATCAGTAAAATGAGGTGCCGGATCAGATTTCAGAGGTGCCAGATCCGGAGCTGGTGTGTTCCAGCACAAATTAAGCCCTGCATATAACCATATAATTTTAAGCCAGAATCGAAACAATTTTTGCGCGGCAACTTCCCAGCAGGCAAACAACATCATAAGACGTTAATATTAGGTTAGATTTAGGTCATGATTACCAAAATTTCATGTCTAACCAGCGTCTAAGGACAACATTATTTAATGTCCAATAATGATGTCAAATTACGTTGATATTTGGTTGATTTTAGGTTGTGTTGGAAAGTGACCAAAATCCAACGTCTGACAGATTTCATAGTGGTAATGGCCACACAACATCAAGGTGTAACATGATTAGACATTGATATTTGGTTGATTTTAGGTTGGACATTGGACACTGACATCGGCCTGACGTTGAGTTCCGACATCAACCTGATTTTCATTTTCAGCAAAATCCAACATCCCAATGACATTGGGGTACAAGGTCAATATGATGTCATGTTGATGTCCTGTGCCTGCAAATTACAAATTGCAAATTTGACCTCTTCTCGACTGAGAAAACTAGCAACCACCAATGAATGATTTTATGGTGTCATGCCTTTGTAATTCAAAAATGTAATTATAATGTAAGTCAATGGGCAAAAACAACCAAGAACATAATGAAAGGGTAGTCAATTTGCCCAGAGTGTTTTGTTGAATTTTTTTTAAAGCATTTTCCCAAAATATTCATTAAAATATGATGTCACCAAAAATCCTTCCATTTGCTGAAACACAGAAACATTTGAGGCCAAATTAAGACTCAAAATCAGCCCAAAGTGGATGAACACATTCCCAACAGCACAAAAAAGTTAAGCATGATCGCAATATTTATTAGAAAATTATGAATTTTGTTTTCAGTCAGCTTCTTGTTCCAAACAAATCAAGCTTTCACTTCATAACAGAAATTGTGATATTTTAATAATAATAATAATAATAATAATAATAAATAATGATAATAATAGTAATAATAAAAAATAAATAAAAGATGCAATAATTGCAATAATTCAGCATCTCAATTAAAATATTGAAAGAAATCCATAAAAATTAAGTGCTAAATCTTGTAAAGAGAACGTTCGAGGTTACTAAAGTAACCCTTCGTTCCCCGAGGAGGGGAACGGAAGCACTATAAGTGGATTTGATTTGCAAAATCCACGCATTGGGAGGTTCGGTTCAGAAGCTACTCGTCTGAAAGAGTATTGAACGGGCCAATTAAGAATGAATTGGCAGCGCAAGCCTGCGCAGGTGAGCGGCATAAGCAATCAACTGAGTATATAAGCTCACCTGGCGCCAGCAGACGCTATCCTTTTTAAGCTGAAGAGACTTTCAACAGCTAAGGGACAGTCATTATGGCGACGGAGTATAGTGCTTCCGTTCCCCTCCTCGGGGAACGAAGGGTTACTTTAGTAACCTCGAACGTTCCCCTTCGGGGGGAACTTCAGCACTATAAGTGGATTTGATTTGTAAAATCCACGCATTGGGAGCCCATTGAAAGCGCCATAATGACTGCACCTTACCAACACCCCCGATGAGGAGATAGTCAAGCAAGCGTGACGCACCCGCATCATGGGGGGCGCGGTCCTCCAACGTGTCCCTGGCCCTAATTTATCCTACTTCAACAGAAGTTTTACGGATTTAGATATATTTTTTGGGAAGTCGTGAGCATCTAGATAATTCTAGGAAAATACGACAGTACGTTGGGAAGCGTGCAATCCCGATAGGGAGGACGCTGCGGAGGCCATCCGTTACCCAAGGGGGGATAGATGGCAGAATTTACATATGGACTAGCCCTAAAAAGGGGGAGTACGCATAGCAAAAGAGTGGTTAGCGGGGAGGGAAGACACGGGTCCGCCCAGGGGGGGGGGACTTAACCGTGGCTGAATAAGCATATGGGATCGCCTAGTGGGGACCACGCATAGCAGGCACCTTTACCCAAAACGCGGGCTGACCAGCGGGCAGACCTACAACGTAGTGGGCCAGCAAGTGACTCCTCCGCTGAGTCAGTGCTGGGGGCCACGGAGGAATCTGCAGGGCTCACCTGACGGGGAACTTTACTGACAGATAAAAAGGCGCACGTATCTCCGTGTTAGGGAAAATGGCGCAGCAAGCGTGTTTCAACACCCTACCGAATTGTTTCCTCAATCACCAAGGGTTACCTAATACCCTTGAGGAAACCGGCTCCACTCGCAGATTGTAAAACCTTGCAAATGTGTTGGGTGTCACCCAGCCCGCAGCTCTACAGAAGTCTGTTAGAGGGGCGCCGCGTGCGCGCGCTCGAGAGGATGCGAAACTCCGAGTGGAGTGCGCACGCGCTCTCGGGGGACGCGGCTTATCTCGGCTCTGATAGTGAAAGAAAGGCATCCACAATCTAGTGGGAACTTATTTCGGTACGGCACTTCCCTGCTGCCGACCGTTATAACAGACGAAGAGCTGCTCAGATGATCTAAACTCTGAGTGCGGTCCGGATAATACGCAAAACGCGAACTGGACAATAAAGAAGGGCTGGGTCTGCCTCCTCCGAGGGCAGCGCTTGCAGGCTCACTACCTCGTATTAAAACGGAGTGGTAGGAACCTTGGGCACATATCGCGGGCGGGGTCTCAGGACGTGAGAGAAGCCAGCCCAATTACAGGCACGAGTCACTGACCGAAAAATGCCTCCGGGTCCCCGACCCTCTAATCGATATCAACGCGACCAGCAGAGCTGTCTTCAGGGACAGAAAGATACTGAGTCGAGGATCGAAGGGATCTGACGCGGCTTGTGTAGCGAGGGCGAGATCCTAAGAGGGCATGAGAGGGGGCGGGAAGGATTAATTCGCTTAGCGCCCCTGAGGAACCGGATGATGAGGTTATGCGTTCCCACGGTGCTGCCAGCCACCGCGTTATGAGAGCGGAGATGGCAGCCACGTAACCTTGAGTGTGGAGGGCGACAGCCTGCTCTCCAGCTTCTCTCGGCGTAAAGAAAGCACAACGCTGATCTGGCAAATTACGGGGGTCTTCTCAGCGAGAGACACACCATTCAGTGAATAGACTCCACGTCAGGGCATAGGCGCGCTCGGGGAGGGGGCTCTAGCCCGAGTGACGGTATTAGCCACCGCAATCGGAGGTTACCTAAGTCTTCCTCGCGTCTAAAATCTCTTCAAAGATCGGCGAGGGTGCCAGGTGGTGCCCTGTCCCTGAGAGAAGAGGTGCTCTCTCGAAGGGACTGCCAGGGGAGGGCTATCGCGAGGGAGAGCTCTGACATCCAGGTCCGGTTGAGCCAGAGGGGCGCAACCAGCAACCTGTTCCTCGTCCTCTTCCTGACCTTGCACAGTAACTGCGCGAGCAGGCTCACTGGGGGAAACGCGTATTTGCGCGTGCACCGAGGCCAGCTGTAAGCCAGTGCATCCGTGCCGAGAGCACTCGGTCAGGGAAAGAACAACTAGCAATGAGCGATCTCGGGGGAAGCAACAGATCGATCTGGGCTTCCCCGAATCGCGCCCATATCAGCTGAACAGACTCGGGGTGGAGTCTCCATTCTCCAGGACGCAAGGCTGCCGTGAGAGCGCATCGGCTGCACGGTTGAGCTTGCCTTAATATGAATGGTGTGCAGCGATTTCAGCCGCGGATGACTCCAGAGGAGCAGACGGCGGGCGAGCTGAGACATGCGGCGAGAGCGCATACCCCCTATACGGCTGATATACGCCACCGCCGCCGTACTGTCCGTCCTGACCAGCACGTGTTGCCGCTCCAGCACCGGAAAAAAACGGTGGAGAGCGAGGAACACTGCCAACAGCTCCAGGCGATATGCCAATGCAACTGGGTACCTTTCCACAGGTCCGCAGCCGCATGCCCGCAACGCACAGCCCCCCAGCCCGTGTTGGAAGTGTCTGCTGAAACGACAACAAGACTGGACGCCTGTTCTAGAGACACCCAGGTCTGTAGGAACGAGGGGTCGCTCCAAGGGCTGAGGGCGCGGCGACACAGCGCAGTAACAGAGACTCGGTGTGCGCGCGCGTGCCATGCGCGTCTGGGGACTCGATCGTGAAGCCAGTGCTGAAGTGGTCTCATATAGAATAATCCGAGCGGCATGAAGCGGCTGCGGATGCCATATGCCCCAGGAGCCTCTGAAATAGTTTCAGTGGGACCACTATTTTACTGTCGAGCTCTCTCAGACAGTACAGCATCAGCTGAGCGCGCTCTCCGGAGAGGCGCGCTGCCATGGTGACCGAGTCCAGCTCCAGCCCGAGAGAAGAGATCCTCTGCACGGGGGCGAGTTTGCTCTTTTCTCGGTTGACCTGAAACCCCCACAGGTGGAAGTGCCAGAGCACTTTGTCTCTGTGCATAATCAACTGCTCTGAGAGAGGGCAAAAATCAGCCAGTCGTAAAGAAATTGAGTATGCAGATGCCCGCGAGCCGAAGGGGCGCTGAGGCACCCTCCGCGGGCTTGGTGAGGACCCGCGGAGACAGAGAGAGCCCGAAGGGGAGGGCTTTGTATTGCCAAGCTCGACCTTCAAACGCAAACCGCAGAAACTGTCGGTGGCGAGGAAGAGTGGAGACATGGAAATACGCGTCCATCAGGTCTAATGCTGCAGACCAACCCAGAGGACGAACGCACCGGAGGATGCGCTTCTGCGTGAGCATTCTGAACGGCAGCTTGTGCAGGCAGCGGTTCAAAACGCGCAGATCTAGGATTGGCCGTGACCCACCGCTCTTTTGGGCACGATGAAGCGTGGGCTGTAAAACCCGCTCTCCATCTCGGCTGGAGGGAGCGGCTCGATTGCATCCTTCGCCAGGAGGACAGCAATCTCCTCTCGCAAGACAGGGGCGGACAGGGGGCTGACCCTGGTGAATACACACCCGTGACTTGGGGGGCCGTTTCGCGAACTGAATCGCATAGCCGAGTCTGATTGTGCGTATGAGCCACCGCGAAGAGCTGGCCCGCGCTAACCAGGCAGGCAGAGCTCTCGCTAATGGACTCATCGCTACAATCGCTGACGTACCAGCAGTGGGGCAGCGCGGAGTGGGTGTGCTGATCCAGGAAGCTCGCGGGTCCCACGGAAAAGCTGGAGGTGAGATATTTGCTCTCACTCCAAACCCGAGCTCCGGAGGGGAGGCTCGAGGGGTGGGAGAAAGGAGACCGTCCTCCCAGCGCTCGTGAGCCACTGGCGAAACGCACCGAATCTGCAAGCTAGAAAGCATAGCGTCCCAGACTGGCAGATTTCGGGCTGTCACATCTGGGGAAGTGAAAAGTGCCCTTTCATAATGTTTTCATGGCAGTAAAAAGTGCCGTTGGAAATGGGGCCCCGCCCTCCAGCGGGGAAAGAGCAAGTTCCCTCTTCTCCAGATGGCCTGTCCCAGGGACGCTTCGCGGTCCGTTGCCGGACTTAGCGGCGTTCTGGGCAGGGGGGCTGCCTGCTTCCGAGGTGCCCGACGCGCTCGCTTCGCCTGAGGCGTGTGCGGGGGCGGAGCAGCTCTCGTAGGCGGGCGCCTTCGGCGAGGAGCAGGTATGAATGGCACGGCGGGCGGAGCGGGCTACGGACCGCCGATAAGACATCACCCACCAACTGCTCTCTCACCGCCTTGAATTCCTGGGTGAATTCACAGACAGTGTCGCCGAACCTGGCTGGGGATATGGGGAAGTCAAGAAAGCGGACTTTGTCGACTTTGCGCATATCAGCCAGGGGTGGCGCTCCTGGACCACTAATGTGGACATCGTCCTCCCCAACGCACACGCAGCGGACTCAGTAGTCCGAAGAGCTAAGTCGGCGGCGGTGCGAAGCTCGTAAGCCTGGGTTGGACCCACCCTCGTGCAGCTCGGCCAGCGCCTGCGCTTGGTAGCGCTAGTAGGTGGCTATCGCATGCAAGGCGGAAGCAGCCTGGCCCGCAGCTATGTAAGCTCTAGCTCCGAGGGAGGTAGATAACTTACAGGCTTTGGATGGGAGACGAGGCGGATCCCGCCAAGAAGAGGCGCCGCGCGGATTTACCGCCATCGCGCACTCAACCTGAGGAATCGCCACATACCCCCTGGCTGTTTCACCGTCAAGAGTGGTTAGGGTGGAGGAACACGCAGCACGAGCAGAAAAAAGTGCTTTACAAGACCGCGTGAGCCTACTGTGCACCTCCGGGAAGAAGGGAACGCCCCTCTAGTCGGTCCGGCCGCGGAGCTGGGGGATAAACCATCTCCAACCCACGGCCGAAGCAGCCCGGGAAAGCACGGCTAACATGTCCGTTTCAGGATCCGTAGTGACAGCGCTCACCAGCCCGAAGGGGGCGAGCGGGTCTGGATCATCATCGGACAATGAAAGCCCACCCTCCGATGCCGCGGTGGACATCTGGTCTCCGGTGTCATCGGGCGTAAGGGCTACCATCTGTTAGACGGATCGCTTCCCCCGCCCGAAGCTTGGATGGAGCGCTTAGAGGAGCGGGAGGTCCGCGGGCCCGTGGGCGACGGATTATCTCTCGCTGAAACCCTCAGATCTGCCCGAGTGCCCGCTGCAGAGCAGGGGACAACTGGGGTGGTTCACCCTTTTGCAAAGGCTAACCGCGATCTTGCGCAACAGTCATGGCATCGCAATGACGACATGAACTGCCCGCGAGCAGCGCATTAACATGCTGGACCCCCAGACATGTAACTCAGTGCCCGCGCCCATCATCCGAGGACAGGAAACCACCGCATCCAGAAACGCACAGTCGGAGCGCCGTCCTGATAAGGACGTGCTGCACGACTGTGTTGCTCTTTCTGTGAAGTTTGCAACTTTATACGCACCGCTCTGGAGGACCGGACCCAAAGAACGCCAGGCAAGGGAGAAACCCAGCTCGACCGTCTGCCACTGCGTGTACACACTCTGGACCGGGAGAATGCTCTCGTTCGCTCAGAATCGCTGGTCACAGCAGGAGGAACCCTCATCGACTCGATCAGAAAGTCTCTGAAGCGAAAAGGATAGCGTCTGCTGGCGCCAGGTGAGCTTATATACTCAGTTGATTGCTTATGCCGCTCACCTGCGCAGGCTTGCGCTGCCAATTCATTCTTAATTGGCCCGTTCAATACTCTTTCAGACGAGTAGCTTCTGAACCGAACCTCCCAATGCGTGGATTTTACAAATCAAATCCACTTATAGTGCTGAAGTTCCCCCCGAAGGGGAACTACTTGATACAGTCTTTTAGTTTGATTATAAACATTTTAAAATGTGCGTTGTTTTTACTATAGTAATATACTTCCAAAGAAGGAACAGAAGTCTCTCAGATTTGATTATAAATTTGAGTTCTAAAAATGACTCTTGTGGGATTGGAATAACAAGAGGGTTAGTAAATTATGCCAGAAACCATCTTCAACCATCTTATCCTTCTTACCTGAAACAGAGCTGTTGAATCCAATCTAAATCCATCAGAGCCCGGCTGTCTCACCAGCGCCAGGGCTTGAGGATCATCTACAGCCAGGAAAGCATTGAAACTAATGCTGCCGAATGTTCTCGCCTGAGTCTCTGGCTGAGCTTTGTCCTGTAAAGCAGAATGAGTTTAAAATGACACATTTTACTCTAAAAAGATCCTGAATGCAGCACAAAGACAAGGATGCACAGCATGTCAACAGAGACACTGGATGCACCTGGCATCAAAAAACAAAAACAAAAAAACACATTTAATATTCAAATCATTATTAAATAAGAACCTTATAGATTTTATAAAATCTGAACATGGCTTTTGAAACAAACTAAACCAAGAAAAATATGCAACACAGTTAGAATTTACATTATTAGCCCTTCTGTGAAATTGTAATTCTTTGGTGAGGTGTATTGCTGGCGCGTTGTTATTTTTAAGAAACTATAATAGATTTTTCAATAGACCAGAACAAAGCCAGTCTATTGTCCAGTGCAAAGCGTGTTAGTTGTGCGCCTCGCTTACACACTGCTTAATACACACAAATTGTGGAGCAATACGCAAATATCTTTATATATGAAAAGAATTAAAATATTAAGGATGTATATAGGATATAATAAGAATATATATAGGATATAAACATAAAGGATTAAAATATTACAAACATATTATTTTCTAGCCTACATAAATATAAAAACTACTGCCTTCATGCCTTCTTTATTTCGGGAGGCTTTCTTAGTTCATTTATAACAATTTGCTTTTGAATAATGATTTATTATTAGCAGTATTATTTATTATAAGCTATTTTTATTTGTTTTATAAAAATAAGCTTAGATTTGCCCAACTGTAAGGACATAGTCATAGGTTTTGGACCATATGGGGCACAGCATGTGTATTAGGATATAACTCAGTTTTTTGACCACACTTAGTCAATATTTTTCATGTATTCGTTTGCTGGAAATTAGAACTGAATTTAGAAATAGTTGTAAAACAAATATTTGACAAACGAAATTAATTATTTATAGGCTAATTGATGTCTGTGCGTCCAAGGGTTCCCTATCCACGAGAGCTAAAGTGAAAGTTAATAATTTGTCTCTCATTCTCGCGCTGCAGATGCTCTGTTTAACTGTTTTCTTGCTAGTAAAACGCTCAGTTTTTCCACTTACACTTACTTTACGTCATGTAAATAGCAAATGCACCATGGTGCGATGCAACTGGCTCTTAAAGGGAATGGAAGATGAGACTCTGATTGGTTTATTCTCAAAACACACCTATAACTCATTCAGAAAATAAACTCAACCCTTTTAGACCATGTGCCACGGCGCAAAGTGAATTTTTCTGTCCTTATAGCAAAAGTGGATTCTGACACGCCCTAAATGCGTTTGTGCCCTGCGCTTTGCACTTTGCTCATGGACCATCAAAATAAAGCCCTCAAAGTTGCAATATTAAAGTGATTAAAATATACAAGAAAATGTACATAAAAAAGAAAAAAGTTACAAAAACTACATTTAAAGACAAAATAAAATACATTAAATAACAAAAATAGTATAACCAGTATAGTAGCATTATATTTTTACAATGGTAATGATACTAAAACCAGGACAAATCCAAATATAGATATCACTAAGTTATATTTCATAAAATGTTCGAAAACATTTACTAAATACAGCTATTTAGTTCCCCAATTTTCCCCAATTTCTGTTTAATGGAGAGAAGATTTTTTCAACTCATTTCTAAACATAATAGTTTTAATAACTCATTTTAAATTACTGGTTATTTTATCTTTGCCATGATGACAGTAAATATTTGACTAGATATTTTTCAAGACACTTCTATACAGCTTAAAGTGACATTTAAAGGCTTAACTGGGTTAAGCCAGTTAGTTAAGGGGAGCTAATAATTCTGACTTCAACTGTATGTATTTACTGTACATTTTATTCATCATACTGGAAATCTGTAGAATGTCAACTCCTTTGTTCAAATCTTGATATTTACTAAACTGTGTCAATACTTACGATGATCTTGAAGCGGTAGAGAAGAGACGGTGAATCAGCCAGACATCCGTACTCAAAGTTGTCTGGGTTGTATTTTGGGATGTATCCGTCTGCTCCTGTGCACAAAAACACCTTTTCGATGTTACAGATGAACGAGTCCCCGAGATTCTGAACCGGATCTACCATCACACGGCCATAGATCATGTCTCCTAAAGAAAAACATCAGCCATGAATAAGTGAGCGTTTAAATAAAACACAATGCTACTAGAACCTTTATTACTAGCAATAGTTCACCCCAAAAATAAACATGTATTCATCTGAGGTTGTTTCTGTCGATGTTAAAAATAAGAGGTGGCCTTTTGAATGTTGAAAACCAATGACTTCCATACACTGAAAAAAGTGATGCATGCAAAACTGTTGCTGTTGAACTGTTGAACAATTTATTTGTGTTGAATTTAAACAAACAAATTAAGTTTAATAATGTTGAACTTAATTTGTTTGTTTAAATTAAGCCCAAATAAATTGTTTACAACCACTTAACGTGAAAAAATTGAGTAAATCCAAGGAATCATCTTTGAATAATTTTTTTCAGTGTACCCATGAAGAAACTTGATGCCAAATCGACATCAAAAATCTGTCAAAAATGGCAACTGATTTGTGTGAAAACCTTGACATCTATTTGACATGCACACATTGGTGAACTTAATACCCCAAAAAGACACAAAAAGTACTTTAACATAAGAAATGTTTTCATTTAAAGCTTCATCTCCAAATTCCAAATTTACACTAAATTTGTTTTCCTGAAATGCATGTAAACTATCTTGATGTCAAATTGAGATTTTTTTTTCCATCAAATTTTTCTTTTATTTTGTATTTTTGAACACAGAAAAACATATATCTATTAATTTATTTTATTTGTCATTTTTATTTGCAATAGTATGTCCTTGTCATTATTCTTCAGTTTTTCCTTTTTACTGACAATATTGTTGTCATGGCTGACGCTATTATTAATACTATTATTTAATAACTTGTATATTGGTTTATATATGTGTATCTACACATTCTGTTTTATGTTGAGATCTTATATTGGTGTCAGAAACCACCTCAAAATTGATAACAGGACTGTCCTGTAATTCTTTTTTTACCATGATTTATGATGTCAATCTTATCAGTCAATTTGATGTGGTTTTGAAATCAAGGTAGTCAGCTGACATCAAATAAATTTTGGTGTGTTTGTCATTTTGATTTCACCTGAATTCTTCAAAATATCCTATTTTTTTGTTTAACTTGACAGAATTTTCATTTTTTGGGTGAAATATCCCTACAAGCCACAGGATTTTACCCTCTGAGAAAGCAGTGTCAGTCTCCTGACCGAAGCCCATGGAGCCGTCTGACAGCCAGAGAGTCCTCTTTGAAAGCAGAAGCATCTGTGTGTTCAGACTGAACTCTGCTGACACTGGATCACTCACCTGGAGAAATCAACACATACAGAGCTTTCATTAAAACACAGTGGTTGTTATATACTTTATTAAATAGAAACTACTGATCAAACATTTTAGAAAAGTAAAATTTGTCATGTTTTTAAAAGAAGCCTCTTCTGCTCACCAAGGCTGCATTTATTTGATCCAAAGAATAAAAAAAAAACAAGAAATTATATGTATTTATACAAACAAGATCCTTCAGAAATTGTTTTAATAATCTGATTTGCTTCTAAAAAACATTTATTATTATTATTATTATTATTTATTATTATTACTATTATTAAGAAAACAGTATATTTTGATGAATTTTGAACTTTAATGAATAGAAAGTTCATGCACATTATTTATCTGAAATAGTATTTTTTGTGACATTATAAATGACTATATCGTCACTTTTAATTTTACAATTTCTTTAAAAAGACACACTTTTAAATGGTGTAATGTAGAATGTTTTAAAAGGTTTTTATTTCAAATAAATGTTGATCTTTGGGTCTTTCTATTCATCAAAGAATCCTGAGAAAAATCATTCAACTGTTTATAAATATTGACAATAATAATAATAAATACATAAACATCTCTTGAATAGCAAATTAGTATCGGAACGATTTCTGAAGGCTTCTGTGACTCACTGGTCTAATAATGCTCAAATTTAGCTTTGAAATCAGGAATAAATTACATTTTAAAATATAATATAATAAAATAGAACAATAAATAATTTTAAATAGTAAAATATATATATTTTTAAATGACCTTTTTAAATTTTTTAAATGATCAATGAATGATCTTTGAGCAGAAGAGACTTCTTATAAACATCACAAATATATTAAATTCATTTTAAAAACAAATGTATATTCATATTAAAGCAGCATTGACTATTATAAGGAATGTTTATTGAAAACTTGCAAAATCTGATCATTTAATGTTCAAAAAACACGACTGAGGTTAAATGATACAACAAGAAAAAGATTTCACTATAGCAGCTGGTATTTATAGTATTCAACCGCACAAACAGGATAATGACAGATAATAAGCCAATGTTTCGCTGTTCCTGGCTGTTAGATACAGAAGCATGCAGCTCTGTTTAATGTTAATATAAAACTGCCAAAATGAAGAATTTGTCCAGCACAGTTTAGTAAGGCTTTTGTTTTGTAAAGTTGTCACACTGCATTACAGACTTTGTAAAGAGTAACAGAAGCTCTTTAACTGTAACTGTTTTTTTTTTCAGAAGTAGATGCAATAAGTTGGAAACCTGTGACCATTAACTTCCATAGAGTTTGTTTTTGCTACCATGGAGTATTTGTTTTTTCTACTATTTTCAGACTCCTCAAAATATCTTCTTTTGTGCTCAACAGAAGATTCAATTCGAGGCTAAGTAAATAATGAATCCTTTTTTATTTTGGGTGAACAGTCCCTTCATGTCCAAGTTTTATCTATGGATTCTTTGTATTTAATTGTAAAATTTACTAGCACTTTTCAATTAGCAATTGGGTGAGAGACAACACGGGGAAGCGATCACAAATTGAGGAGCGGGGAAGGGAGGCGGGGTGGAGCGACAACGCGGGGAAGCCTTCAACAAACTGAGGAGCGATCACAAACCGAAAGCTGCGAGAGCGTCAAAGTAGCCAGAAGTCATTCATTTTCAATGAGAACCAGCGGCGAGAAACAGCGCGACGCATCTTCTCCGATGTGAGCGTCGAGGATTGTTGAAATCAAGTCAACTTTATGGTATGAGCTATGACGCGGTTCGCCGGCAAGCAATCAGAATGAAGTAGTCCACCGCTTGAGAGGTGTTCAGAGAACACAGACCTGTAAACTTTGGTTCCGACCACAGTTGTTCCCAAGAGTTTGATTATTGCGGTTGCCGGATTTACAATTATTGAAAATCGTGACGAAGCGAGGCCCCCTAATCACGCGGGCCCGTCTTCTGTCACTTACACTTAATATTTACATACTTACAATACTTACACAAATATCACAGTAATGATGAACAGTCATGTTCAAAGAATACAATTCAATACTGGTTATATTCAAATGTGGCATCTGAACAATATTACCTACAATAATTTTCCACACAACTATGTGTACACCTTTTTGACTGTGTAGTCTTTTGATCTGTGTATATTTGTGTGTAGTGTTTGTTTTTCTTAACGCATTTATTGTCCTTCACGTATTTATTGTCTTTTACGTATTACTGTATAACATTGATAATTGTTTATTGTTTTGTTTTGTATTGTTTGTTTTGTTTTTTTGAAGTAAGCTGGTGTATGTTGCACTGTTGTTGTATTTTGCACTGGTTGGAGCCAGCATCAAAGCTTTTTACTCATCATAGTACACGTGCTGCTGCTGATGTGACAATAAAAAGTGATTTGGTTTAAAATATTGATCAAATGTGCATTGTGTGTCATAGTTTTTAAAATTAATTAATTAATTAATTTTTTTCTTCAGTTTCTGAAAGCATAGCTGCACAGATGTTGAAATAACACTATAAAATTAAAATTCAAGCACTTTCAAAAAGTGTGAGAACCTTTATTAAACCCTTTATTTATTTATTTGTTTTCAGTGTGTGTTTTAATATCAACCTGTTGGAAGCGTATGTCCAGATCAAAGGTTATGGGCTCTCTGGGATGACACACAGGCCGAAAGCTGTACTCTACATTGGGAGGAGAAGTGCAGGGAACCAGTTTGACCGTGTATGTTCCAGAATAGTCTCTCACCTGGAGGAAAAGCAGGACAAATTTCAGAAGAGACAGTGAAGAGACTAAAATGCAGTCGAGCAATAAAAGAAGATTTCGCTTGGATTAAAGAATAATGTATTGATTTATAGCTGTAATCAGACTTACGGCAAAGTCTGAGATGAAGGTCCACTGCTGTATTGGCTGGTTGTATGTCGGTTCACTCCTCACCAAGCTCAGGTTAAAGGTCAGTCCAGGATGATCCACACACATGACCATAGAAGTCATTGGAGAGGCTGCATTGACAGAAATGAACTCAATACCACATGACAGGGTCATAATAACAGGCTTAAAAAACTTACATTTACACTACCAAAAACTATTCCACTCCCAAAATGTAAATATCACATAAATGATAAATGAATATTTAAATAAATATTTGTAACCCTGGATCTCATAAGTGTCAATTTTTGGAATTGATTTTCACTGCATATATCGTCTAAATCTTAACAAATAAGCTTTCCATTGATACATTGACAGGATTAGGTAATATTTGGTCAAGCATCAATTTGAAAATCTGCAATCTGAGGATTAAAAACAAAATGAAAATACAGAGGAAACCACCTTTAAAGTTGCCCAAATTTTATTCTCTTAATATCGAAATTAGATATGCAATGCATGTCTAATTAAAATTAAAAGTTTTGATAGATTGATGGAATAAAAATTGTTGAAATTCTAATGATTTTTTGGCATAAAATAAAAATAACAACAATTTTATAAATACATACTTAAGATATTTTTTTTATTTTCTTATTCATACATTTCATTATTACAATAATTTTGAGTCATACAGTGTCATTTTTTACTATTTCCAAAATAGTGTAACATTTACACATTTCACATTTACATATTTTATAACAACACCAATGATAATAATAACAATAATAATGATAATAATACAAATTTTTATTATTAATACTACAATAATAATTATCATCATCATCAAAATAGATAATATGACCTAATAAATAAATAATAATTTATAAACAATTATTAATATTAATAATAATAATTATCAATAATAATTAATAAATAAATGAATGAATGTTTAATAACAAACCTGAATGTGCTGTGACAAAGAGCCCTCGAAAACGTGCTTCTGTACGGAAGTTGACGACCAGACGGCCTTGCTCATTGATGCGCATGCTGGTAGGGTAGAGAGCACCTACAATATACATATTTTACATAATTTAAAACAAAACAAAACACATACCCACACAGGACCATAAAGTCCCTATGGCTAAACACATACATTTTTCAGAAGTATTTGCTTCTGAAAATAGTTATTTCAATTTGAAATAACAATTTTGGTAATAAAATGTCATCATATTAATTATATCATTTTTTTGATTGGTCAGAAAGACTGAAGCACTTGCCTTGTAATTCAGCCTCTGGTGGACTGCCGATGCCGTCTCTCCACAAGATGGCGGTGTCATACACAAAAGTGAGACGCAGCTCAGACTGCAGGTCAAAGTGCTGCCAGCCTCCAGCGCCGACGGGTGAATGAAACACATATGAGACATGTAGAGGAACACGCAGCGTCACGTAAGACTGCACCAGATTCAGCACCTGCACAAAGAACAACACTTTAGCGCATAATAACTACTACATAACAATCTTTAGTAATTCCAATATACATTCTAATGTTCCTTTGTTTGTTATAGCCAAGAATGTTCTATTAATGCAAATAAAACATTGCTTTTAGGTTTAGAAAAGCTTACATTTTGGTAATTTTTTAAAGGCCTAAAATAAACATTTACCAGGTGCTAAAAAGTTTGGTCAGTTAGTTGTTATTAATTCTCAAGGCAGCTAACCGTCTGGTTTATGATTATGATATGACTAAGGTAAAATAAACTGTGTAAAAATATGTAATATGTTACACAGAAATCATTTTACATGAGCAGCTCTGCTAAACGTGTTTTTAGTATAGCAGAGCAGATTGGTTTGAAATAAAAATTAAAAATAAAAGGTAAATGATTTTTATTATTTATTTTTGTACAAAAAAAAGAGAACATACAATGAACATTTCTAGAATGTTAGTTTTTAATTGTAAAAAAATATATATCCAAACTGCAACTGTTAGGAGAACGTTTTGTGTTTGTAGTGTAAATATTTTTAACAGCAATTTAACCTTATGATCATTACACATAGGGGTGGACAATATGGCACAAATGTATATCACGATTTAAGTCGATACAATGAAATTCTGATATCGATATGGACAATATTAAAAAGCCAGAAAAAAACCTGACAAGAACACACATAACAGATGTCTGTACTAAATTTGAAAAGACTTTAATACCTCCAGGCTCTTATAACTTCTTTTTTTTTTTTTTAAAGTACAAAAAAAAAAAAAATGAATGTCCACTTTTTATTTGTATTTAGCCTTTACAAACAGATGAGTATATTCATAGTTCTGGTTGCTTTTCATTCTTGACCGAAGTTATCGAAACTTAAAAAGACGAACCACTTCCACACCACTAGTCTTTTCTCTCTCATCAACTAATTCGTCGCACTCATTTTGTAGTTGACATTTTTTGCGACGGAGCTTATTTAACCAACTGCTGAGCGCTGGCAGCGTGTCTGTGATGTACGTTATCACGCAAGTGGCATCACGCTCTTACTGTGGCTGAGCACTGAAAGTAATTTAGTGACAAATGATAGGATGTTTAGGATCTTATATATAATTAAATATATACATATGCAAATTTAAATAGAAATACCGGAAATGGGTTTTAAAATCATATCACCGTTATTGAAAAATTAAATCTATTGCGAAATATATTGATATTGAATTATTGTCCGGCCCTAATAACACAAATACAGTTGAGTGAAAAATTATTAGCCATCCTACATGTTAAATTGTAATTATTTTTCAGTTACTTTCGAAGTGTTGTTTAACAGAAAGCTTTAACATATTAAACATAACTAGGTTAATTAGGTTAACTAGGAAACAATATATTATTATTATTATATACTATCTTATTACTATTATATTATTTTTAACTATATACATTGTTTGGCAACGTGGTGGCGCAGTGTGTAGTGTGTTCGCCTAACAGCAATACGGTCCCTGCTTCGAGTCTTGGCTGGGTCAGTTGGTTTTTTTGTGTGGAGTTTGCATGTTCTCCCCATTTTCGCATGGGTTTCCTCTGGGTGTTGCGGCTTCCCCCACAGTCCAAAGACATGTGGTATAGGTGTATTGGGTAAGCTAAATTATATGTAGTGTATGAGTGTGAATGAGTGTGTGTGGGTTTCCCAGTAATAGGTTACGGCTGGAAGGGCATCTGCTGTGTAAAACATATGCTGGATAAGTTGGCGGTTCATTCCGCTGTGGCGACCCCTGATTAACAAAGGGACTAAGCCAAAAAGAAAATGAACGAATGAATGAATTTATAAATTGTAAACATAACTTGGAAAATAAATGAAAAATAATAAAAAATGCACAGGAGGGCTAATCGTTTTGCCTTCGTCTGTACATTGGTGAGGCAGTGAACTGTTAGTTAGGTTAAGGGATGCTAAAAGGCAAATATAGTATTAATAAATATAGTATTTCTGAATGTACATATACAGTACACGTGCGCCAACAGTAGATGGCGCTACTTACATCTAAAACTGTAACTTAGAGATTTGCCCCTGAAATAAACACTTTAAACTCTTGAAATCACTGTAGCAATTAAAAAACAAAAATCATCCTAAAAGCTTTTAAGTGTAATCAAATTAAGCTAACTGCTAGTGCTAACTCTCTGAGAAAGCATTGTGAATAACTTCACAAACTTGAATGTGACCTGTTTACCAATCCATCCCTGTTTAATGACAGTAGTCCACTTTAATTAACTACAAAGTAAACGAACAGAGCCGTGTGTCCATGGTGAAGACAAACGACTGGCTCACACAGGCATGTAAACAGTCCTCTAAAGCTTGTTTTAGGACTGGGCTTCTCCGGCTAGCAGTTAAAAAAACACACACAAGAAGCTTTTTTATGATCTAAAGGTCAGTTTTGACTCATTGTGGGCGAAAGATAAATAGTGAGCTGTTTAAGGGGGAGACAGAGGAACATAAAGCAAATGCCTCGGCCAATATGCTAAAACACTTCGCCACAGGATAATGGATTGATGTGATCTTACAACTGTGGAAAAAATGGCTTTACTTTAATATGTTTGGCAAAGACTGGGGATCCATATTTCAAGTGCAGGAGTCTAAACCTTAAAATGGATTAAATAAATTGCTAAACTGACACTGAGACAAAGCAAAGACAGACAAGGACAGGTTAAGTGCTTGTAGTTTTTCCCCCCAGTGGTTTTATGAAATATTATAACAATAAAAATGACTGCTTTTTTCTTTTCATTTATTAAAGGTATTCAGTGGTGTAAACTGTAAAGTAACTAATTATAAATTATAAAATTATAATTTTCTCAGAAATTGTAATTTACTAAGCAGTTTTAAAAATGTACTTTTACTTTACTTTGAGTACATTTTTAGTGCAGAATCAGTACTTTTACTCCACTACTCTCCTTCAACCTGCAGTCACTACTTTATTTTTTACTTATACCTGAGTATGATTTTTCAGTACTCTTTCCACCACTGTAGGTATTACATTTTCAGCATCATTATTTCAGCCTTTAATGTCACATAATCATTAAGTAATAATTCAAGATGCAGATTTGCTTCTTTCGTAAAATTATTATTTTGTTATTATTATTATTATTATTATTATTATTATTATGGATTAATAGAATTAATAAAATGACATACACTGCAAAAAATTATTCACTGGATTTACTAAATATTTTTAAGTGAATTGGTTGCAAACAATTTATAAGGACTGAATTTAAACAAACTAATTATATTTAGTAATGTTCAACTTAATTTGTTTCCTTAAATTCAGCTGATATACTGTAAATATACTGTTTCCAACTACTTACCTTAAATGCACTAAATCCAATTAATAATTCTTTTCAGTGTAGCAACAGTGGTGTTTTTTCTCTCTCCAGAATTTGCCCTAAATTGGTATTTAAAATGTATTTACAGACCATTTATTAAAAACATTTGGTCATTCTATAAATGATAAAATTAAAAACAGCTAAATTCATATAGGTTAAAAACCACACACATATAAGTAAAGGATAAACAATTTTTGAGGTGGACTATCCTTTCATTTTTAATTTTATAAATGTACATACAAATAATAAAAATAATATATTTAAAAATATATTTACTTATTTATTGTGAAAATAAAACACTATTTTGATTTACAAAATATTCCTCTGCACGAGAAACTAAAACTGACACTAGGTGGCGGTAAATTAACTAATAAGAAAGTTATTGAGTTACTTTTATTCATTTGACTTCAGTCAATCAATGACGGAAACAGACCTTTGTTTAAAATTGATCATTGGTTTACTTAACTCATGCTGGATTCATTCAGTAAGGAAACACCGCTGTATGTTGAATGTTCTGCATGAATTTATAGGTAATATTTTTATAGTAAAAACAGAGAAAAAAAGCTAAATAGATAATATTGCATCTACAATATAACACAATGTTAACCTAATATTTACAGAACTACAAAATCAATATCATGTTTGCTTTTACGCTACTCAGGACAAAAACAGAAATTGTCTCTTTTATATAAGTTTTTCATTACCTTTTTATTAATTAATTAATTAATTCATTCATTAATTCATTAATTCATTCATTCTCCTTTGACTTAGTTTCTTATGTATCAGGGGTCACCACAGCGGAATGAACTGCCAACTATTTCGGCATATGTTTTATGCAGCGGATGCCCTTCCAGCCGCAACCCAATACCAGGAAACACCCATACATTCACATACACTCATACACTATGGCCAATTTTGCTTACCCAATTCACCTACTGTATAGCGCATGTCTTTAGACTGTGGAAACCGGAGCACCCAGAGGAAACCCACGCAAACAGATGGAGAACATGCAAACTCCACACAGAAATGCCAACTGACCCAGCTGAGACTCTAACCAGCAAACTTCTTGCTATGAGACGACAGTGCTAACCACTGAGACACTGTGCCGCCCCAATCCCTTTTCAACCACTGAGCCACCGTGCTGCCCCCAATCCCTTTTCACAGTCATAATTTTTTATTATAAAACACTACAAACTGTTGTGTTGTTTAATATATATTTTTTTTCATTAAAATTTTTTACAGTCACTTTTGATTGTTTTACTCTGTCCTTGTTGATTATAAATACAAATTTCTTTTTAAAAGCCCTAACAAAAACTAAATTTTGAATAATAGCATTTATATAATGTGTATTTGTGTGTCAACAGAAATATAAAGCAGTTTTCCTGTGTTCCCTCACCTGTCCATCAGTGCCGATGGTTCCTCCGCAGTCATTAAGCAGTTCAGACATGTCATAGTAGCTGACGAACTCCCACAAGCAGGCCTCCAGATGCAGGTTTCTATAGAACCTCAGGGTGTTTTGAGCTCTGAGTGCTGTGCTGTACTGGTACGGTGCCGTCCCGCCGATGGCATCTGGATTGCGGGTGGCATCAGTGATGAAGCCGAAGCGAGTCCTCACCTCTGTGTAGTCCAGCAGGTTTGAGCAGCGATGGTTTCCTACCCGGGTGCCGTCTGGACTGAGTGTCAGCTCAAAGTTGGAGAGTGGCCGAGTGGAGACCACAGGTAACATACCTAAGAAGAGAAAGAGGAGAATGATGAAACTGATCTAGCATTGTTATTCTTTTTGTTCAAGGTTTTTTATTTATTTATTTGTGTTTCACATTATAAAAAAACAACAACAACAAAAAAAAAACCACCCCTTTCCCTAAACATTGTTATTCTAAACTAAAACTGTAGGCGAGTCCCAAACTGCATACTTACGCACTATTCGACGCCATTTTGCAGTATAAATAGTGCGTTCACACTGAAAATTCCCCCCCAAAAATAAGTGCACTTTAATTACCGGGATAATGCACTTATTTAACCGGTAAAATGAAGTGTGTAATGATGGAAGGGTAATGATGTAATGATGTTTTAAAAAAAAACTTTAAACTCTAGTTTTATCTGTCAACAAAAAATGATTTTGGCCACTTTTATGGCATCACAAAAAAACTTAAAAACTAAATAAAATAACATTAAACAGAAATTAAAGTTTAAAAATGCTTTAACTAAAATTACATTCAAATTAAAACCTAAAAATAAAAGTTATTATAATTTAAAACAAAATTAACAGTTTAGAAATAACACTTCAATAACTCAGTGTAAGTAAATAAACACAAAAATATTTGTAATTATCTGTGTTTTTTTTTTTAAATAAAAACAAAATCTAAGCAAAAGTGACAAGTTTAACATTGCTTTAACTAAATGACATTAAAAATATAAATCTAAAAGTTAATTAAAAACATTAGTAACAGTATAGAAATAATACTAAAATAACTCACTGTAACTGAAAAACAACAAATAAAATGTAATGATCTGTCATTTTTTTAAAATAGAAACTAAAATGAAAAGTTTAGCATTGTTTAGCAACTAAATTACATTCAAATTATTCTAAATAGAAAAGTTAATTTAAAACAAAACATTTTTTACTTTTTCAATTTGTAAATATATTTAGGCAGGTTTTAAAGTCTAATATTAATTTTGAGACCACACAGAATATTTGTGCTTTAAAAAAGTATATTACCACAGGAAAATGGTGAAACATATAAGAGATTGAAATGATGTAAAACCCTAAATCAAGATATATAATAACTCCTCCTCCTCCTCCTCCTCCTCCTACTAATAATAACATAATTTATACAATATAAAAATCCATGTATTATGCAAAATGTGCATATTTTTTTCAATGTAGAGTTCTGCTTTTCCACTTCAGTACACTGACAAGCGGGTGTACTGACCGTCGATATGGGGCATGGTAACAGTCAGTTTAATGAGGTTTGGGTGGTCTGGGTCTTCTGCTCCAGTGTAGCGCAGCCTGGCAGAGAAAGGCTCTGCTCCAACTGTGCCAACAACCCGAGGCTGGCACATACCTGACAAATAGAAAAAAAAATAGCAGGAGCTTAAAGGGGCTGTGTCATGAAAACATGATGTAAGAAAACCTGTTACTATACAAGTGGTAATCAGTACAGCAGAAAACATGGTTACTTCATTCTTCTATAACAAAACTATGGTTCATTTTCATGAAACACATCAAGCAATCCCTAATAAAAGCCTGCATATTATGCAGATTATTAATATTTCATGATATCAAATGATTAGGTAGTTCAAAGAAAGTTCCATCTATAAGACCCCAGTGTGTTCAAGACTATTTCAGTGTGCATTGGTCATGTGAAAGATACCAAAGTAAAAGAAAATGAACTTTGACGGCTTTGAAATTTTTCCTTTTTTGCTGAGAACCCATATTTGTAAGTAAAACCAGTCTTGTGTTGCACTGGTATATTTGGGGGGAAACCAAATTAGTTTGTAATTTTTTTTATGCTGCACAATTAGAATTAGGGTAGCACAATATGCAGAAAAAAATCCTTTTCAGGATAATTCATTCATTCATTTTCTTTTCGGCTTAATTCCTTTATTAATGCGAGGTCGCCACAGTGGAATGAATAGTCAACTTATCCAGCATATGTTTTAGGCAGCAGATGCCCTTCCAGCTGCAACCCATCACTGGGAAACATCCACACACACTCATTCACACACATACAGTATGTACACTATGGACAATTTAGCCTACCTAATCCACCTATTCCACATGTCTTTGGGCTTGTTGGGGAAACCGGAGCACCCAGATGGCTTTCAGTCATTCGTGGTGTTTTAAAGTCTAAATGTTTGCACCTTGACGTTTGTTTTTTTTCTAATTAAATTTAATCAAAGGAAACCCACGCGAAGGCAGGGAGACCATGCAAACTACACACAGAAACGCCAACTGAGCCGAGGTTCGAACTAGCGATCCAGCGACCTTCTTGATGTGAGGCGACAGCACTACCTACTGCGCCACTGCCTCCCCTAAGTAAAGATTATCTTCCATAAAAAGCAATTAAGCAAATGTCTTATATAAAAACCTAAAAGTATATCAAAACTTCATTTTTGATGTGTAATATGCTTTACTAAGAACTTTAAAGTCAAATTTCTATAATACCCTAAGGATGGTTTTGTTGATCAAGGTCACAAATGCACTTGCATTAGATGACAAATGCCAAAATGTTTTCTAAATTTCCACTCTAAAATTACCTGAAGCAGTCAGACACATCTTAAATGGTCTGAGGGAGTAATTAAGGAGCTGTAGCAAACAATGAGTCTACCTAGAATCAGTTATATGGAGTACAGTACGTATATATATATATATATATATATATATATATATATATATATAATAATGACATACAAGTTCATATTTGTGTTTCACATATATATTACATATATTTTGAAATACTGCATGAAATGTGTATGTATGTATGTGTGTGTGTGTGTATAGTTGAAGTCAGAATTATTAGCCCCCCTGAATTATTAGACCGCTTGTTTATTTTTCCCCAATTTTAATAGTTTAATAGAGAGCAAATTTTTTTTCAACACGTTTCTAAACACAATAGTTTCAGTAACTAATTTCTAATAACTGATTTATTTTATCTTTGCCATGAAAACAGTAAATAATATTTGACTAGATATTTTTCAAGACACTTTTATTCAGCCTAAAGTGACATTTAAAGGCTTAACTAGGTTAATCAAGTTAACTAGGCATGTTAGGGTAATTAGGCAAGTTATTGTATAATGATGGTTTGGTCTGTAGACAGTCAAGTAAAAATATAGCTTAAAGGAGCTAATAATTTTGTCCCTACAGTGGTGTTAAAAAAATGTAAAACTGCTTTTATTCTCGCCGAAATAAAACAAATAAGACTTTCTCCAGAAGAAAAAATATCATCAGACATACTGTGAAAATTTCCTTGCTCTGTTAACCATCATTTGGGAAATATTTAAAAAAGAAGAAAAAAATTCAGAGGGCTAATAATTCTGACTTCAACTGTATATGTTCAAATACATTAGCTTTAATTTTATATATATATTGTTATATATGACCATATACTGTATGTTCAAATTCATTAGCTTTAATTTTGTTTATATATCACCATATACTGTATATATGTACATATTTGTTATTCCAATAGTAGAAAAAAAAGAAAGTGACCACTTTTGCTGTAAAAGCAGCCACATTTGCCAATATTTTTAAATACAGTATATATGTTGCATATATGACATATTATATATATATGTCATTTGCATACATTTGTATTAGATTTCCATATGGGAAGTTTAGAAAGAGGTTAGAAAATAGTACCCAAAATGAAAACAAAATTAAAATTTAAGTGTGGGAAACCTTTACTAACATTAAACCCTTTTAAACATTCCCATAGAGCTCACTTAAAAATAAAACAGGCATATAAAACTTTTATCATGATCAAATGATGCCGAGCTCTGGAGAAAAATTAAATCAGAAAATTAAATCAGACAGCCACGTTCCTTTCCACCTCATTTATTTGCCCAGAAACTGTCTTAATATCAGCACTAATTCTGTACTGTATGCTGTGCTAAACTCACCGTCCTCCTGGCTGATGGAGATGATGGGACTGCTGAGCTCCAGGCCTTCATCCCCATTAGAGTTGACAGCTCGAGCTGCGCACTGCACACGTGAGCCTGCATGGAAATACACCGAGTCCAATGTGATGGTCTTGGAGGAGGTGAAGAAGGTGTCGAAATCCACCTCCTTCATGGGGCTGGTCACACCGTCGGGCCCTGTCGGGGCACTGACTAGCCAACGGTACCGGGTCAGGGTGTTGTTGATGTTCTCCGCAACACAGATAGAGCCCGTTCGGTCAAAGTCAGGATACTTGGGGTTGCATGACTATAATAAATATAGAAATAAAAAAAAAATGTATGCTCTATTTAATAAATGAATACAAATCATACAGGATTGAAGGAGTGTTACATATAGTGAACACACCGTGACACAGACGACAGGATATCCAGCAGCTGGTTGAGTTTCTCTAGTCCTGCTGGTATCATCATACTGTAAGAGAGACACCACCACCGGCACCGAGGGAAAGGTCACATCAGCCATACTGTTGGTTTCCTCAATGTAGATGATGGCTTTGGTGACCTGAAGGTTTGGAGAAGCAGCAAACATTAAGCACAGAGTGGATCTAATAAAAACAGGCCTGCTATTTCGATTGTAGCACAGGCAGATTATTTCAGCATTTTGTTCTTATTTCAGCATATTGTCATACTTGAATCTCCGCTATCATGTTGTCATCAGGTTTGAGGTGGATGGTGAAGGCTTCTCTCATCTCTCGAACTCCATCGTACAGAATCTCTACCTCCACGATGTGCTCAGTCTCTCCCTCTTTAAACTCCACATCTGCAGGTAGAAAATTGTCATTTTTATCACATGTGACTGAGTAACTCATATGTTTTTTTTGACAAATCCTTTTTTTATAAAGTGTGATGGGACAAAAAAATATATGGCGTACAATAACATATATATATATTATTATATATATATTATATATTATATATATTATATATATATAATTATATTATAACATTATATATATATATATATATATATATATATATATATATATATATATATATATATATATATATATATATATATATATATATATATAAAATAGAAATAATAATTAATGGAAACATTGAAAAATAAATAATAAATTAATTCAATAATAAAAAAAATACATTAAAAAAATAAAAATACATATTTAAAAACACACAATTTAAATAATATTCCTATATGATTCCCAAAGATGGTCAAAGTGCTTCTGCTTGACATTGGTGACATAAGTGAGTCAATCGTTTGCATTGTAACGTTATTTATAATAGTACTTGTTATGTTTTGCTAATTTATGCTGAATTATGAATTCATATAATCATATACATGATTTAAAGAGAAAAAACTTTATTAAGTGTAATGTTTGTTTATTTACCTAAATGTATCCAAACTCCAAATGGACCGTTAATTGTAGCAACATGCTATATTTTCCTAATTTACGTAAAATCAAATAGAAATGTATTCACAGTATTTATTTACATATTTACCTCATTTCTGCTGATATAAATAGAAAAATAATTCAATTTATTTTTTTTATGTTAAACTAGCCTAAATTATGCAAATATATCAACTCCTACAACAATGTATTTAAGCAACAATTAATGAAAATGATTTGTTTAATCCATACAATTTTATAATTTTTTAAAATTTATTGTACTTTATAACAATACTATGAATGTGGAAGTTAAATCTTTTTATTGTTGTAAAACTCACATAAAAAGATCTTAATGGTCCTAAAATTAGCTTAAAATTAAAAAACACATTGACAGGATCTTGACATGTTTTCCTGAGATTGCCTAGTGATTTGTGCTGTTGTCACCTTCAGAAATAGGATGATAATCTTCTCCAGAGGTAGCCGAGCCGTCTTTTGTGTGAACCCGGACCACTGACACTTTGGATATGTCTCCTGTCCTCTGCACCGGGATCTTCACCACTGAAACCTGCCCCGACTCACTTGGTTCACTGATGCTGAACTTGGTGGCTCCAAACCTAATTATGGCCTCTGAGAGAATAAAACGGATGTCAGAAATGCATTATCACTTCAGTCAAGACTGATATCGACCAATCAGCTTGCAGTCACAGAGGATAAAATAGTTTACTCTATATACACTGTAAAAAATTATAGAATAAAAGTCACAACAATAAAAGTTTAGCTAACTTTCACTTAGTAATTTAATTAGGTTTTAACAATTTTTAATAAGTTACACTAAGTTCAACTTTTGTTAGTTTGATTGATATAAGTTAAAATGACTAGAAAAAGGTTTTTTTTTTTATTTAGAAAGCAATATTACTCTATAAATACAGTGCTTAAATCATTCTGCCACACTTGCAAATGGCAGACATCAATAAATTTTTACATCAATAAATATTGTACTGTAAAATAAATATTGTACTGTACAATAAATATTACAAATGAACATTGTATACTGTAAAAAATATCTGTAAATTAGCAGTTTTCTGTATTTTGTGATTCAAGTTTGATTTTTATTTTTCCCCATTTATGCTTTTGAATTGCATTATGGGACTTTGATTATTCCTCCAATAACTTTTGACATTAAAAAGTTTGAAAAAGTGACTTTAATTGACATTTTTAATAGTTTAAAGTGATGTATTGTCTGGGTTGGGGTTGTATATTACAGTACAAAAACCTGGTAATAATAAACACAAACAAAAAAACACAAAATATGAAAACAGTTAATTAACAGATATTTTAACACTCAATTCTATTCTACTCTATTGTATTAAACTCTTTTCTATTCTACTCTATACTATTGTACTTTATTCTATTTGACTAATCTATTCTGTTCTATTCTATCCTTTTCTATTCTGTCCTATTGTACTCTATTCTATTCTACTCTATTCTATTTTATTCTACTTTATTTTATTTTACTCTAGTTTATTCTACTCTATTTTATTCTACTCTAATCTAGTCTATTCTATCTCACTCTATTCTATTCTGCCCTATTTTAATCTGTCCTTTTTATTCTATTGTCTTTTTCTATTCTATTTTGTTTTGTATTTTTCAATTTTTTCTACTCTATTCTATTCTACTCTATTCTATTTTGTCGTTTTCTATTCTATTATGTCCTTTTCTATTCTACTCTATTAAATTCTACTCAATTCTATTTTACTCTATTCTATTGTACTCTATTTATTCTATTCTATTATGCTATATTCTATCCTTTTCTATTGTATTCTGTCCTTTTCTGTTCTATTCTATCCTTTTATATTCCACTCTATTGTATTGTACTTTATTCTATTCTATTCTATTCTATTCTATTCTATTCTATTCTATTCTATTCTATTCTATGATATTATATTGTGTCATTTTCTATTCTTTTCTGCCCTATTCTATTCTGTCTTATTCTTATCTATTTTGTTATGTATTTTTCTATTAACTTTTTCAACTCTTTTCTGTCCTACTGTTCTGCCCTTTTCTATTCTATTCTACTCTATTATATTTGCCCTATTCTATTCTGTCCTGTTTTATTCTATTCTATTCTGTTCAATTTTATTCTATTCCATTATGTCCTTTTCTATTCTATTTTGTCCTATTCTATTCTGTATTTTTCTTTTCTATTTTGTTAAGTATTTTTTAATTATTTTCTTTTCTACTCTATTCTGTCTTTTTCTATTCTATTATATTATATTCTGTCCTTTTTCTATTCCATTCTACTCTATTCTATTGTGCTCTATTTTATTCTACTCTTTTCTATTGTACTCTATTTTATTCTATTCTACTGTAATCTATTCGACTATATTTTATTCTACTCTATCCTATCCTTTTCTATTCTGTCCTATTCTATTCTATTCTATTCTGTCCTATTCTATTCTCTTCTTTTCTATTTTATTCTGTCCTTTTATATTCTATTCAGTTTTATTCTATTCTGTCTTATTATATTACATTTTGTTCTGTATTGTTTATTCTATTCTATTCTATTCTATTCTGTCCTATTTTATTCTGTCCTTTTATATTCTATTATTTTCTATTCTATTCTGTCCTTTTCTATTCTATTCTCTCCTTTTCTATTCTATTCTGTTCTTTTCTATTCTATTCAGTTATATTCTTTTTTGTCTTATTATATTCCATTTTGTTCTGTATTTTTATTCTATTCTATTCTGTCATTTTTATATTCTATTATATTCTGTCCAATTCTATTTGACTCTATTCTATTCTGTCCTTTTCTATTCTACTATATTATATTCTGTCATTTTCTATTCTATTCCACTCTGTCCTTTTCTATTCTATTTTATTCTGTCCTATTCTATCCTATTCTGTCCTTTTCTATTCTATTCTACAATATTCTATTCTACTTTATTCTGTCTTTTTATTCTATTTTACTCTATTCTATCCTTTTCTATTCTAATCTACACTATTCTATTCTATTCAGTCCTTTTTATTCTATTCTATTCTGTCCTATTCTATTCTACTCTATTCTACTCTATTCTGTCCTATTCTATTCTATTCTATTCTATTCTAATTACCAATTGGTGAGCAACACTATTATATATCCCCTCCAATGCTTATTTCTACTTGCATCTGGCCCAATTTCAGGCCCTGGATAATACATCTTAAATATGTGAATGTGAATAAATTGAGAACATACTTTCTAGGACTCTGACAGATAACAGTCGACACAAGCGGGTACAGAAATGTAAGACAGTGTGAGATAAAAGTCTTACTGTCAGCGTCGTCCTTTATCTTGACGAGAGTCTCATTCTGAGCCCCAATGGAGGCTCCGAATGGAGACTCACTTTTGGGGCTTCCCAAAACCAGCCTTAGCTCCTCGTCTTCCTCATGTTCAGTGTCATCCACGAGGATGAGGACACACGGCTTCTCCACCTCTCCTGCACAGCCATTTTAAAGAAAGAGACACTTTTTAGCATGCATGACAAATATCAAGGTTGTCTGATTCAACAACAAGCTGAATCTTGACAGTTTACCTGTTCATTTCACAAATCATATTGAACAATTATTTTATGTATTGAACAAATTTGATTTTAAATCTGTTCTTGATTCAACGACTTACTGATTCAAATGAGAGAGTCAAGTTGAGTCTTCAGTTAACGACTCACTGATTCAAATGAGAGAGTCAAGTTGAGCCTACAGTTAACAACTCAATGATTCAAATGAGCAGGTCAGAGTAAATCTACAGTTAATAACTCACGGACTAAAATGAGTTGGTCAGAGTGAATCTACAGTTAATGACTCACTGGTTCAAATAAGCTGGTCAGAGTGAATCTACAGTTAATGACTCACTGGTTCAAATGAGCTGGTCAGAGTGAATCTACAGTTAATGACTCACTGGTTCAAATGAGCTGGTCAGAGTGAATCTACAGTTAATGACTCACTGGTTCAAATTAGCTGGTCAGAGTGAATCTACAGTTAATGACTCACTGGTTCAAATTAGCTGGTCAGAGTGAATCTACAGTTAATGACTCACTGAAGGAAATGAGCTGGTCAGAGTGAATCTACAGTAAATGACTCATTGATTCTAACAAGTTTGTCAGAATGAGTCTACGGGTAACCGCTCATTGATTTATATGAGCCAGTCAAATCTTAAAGTCTACTGTTAAGGACTAACTGATTAAAATGAGCTGGTCTGAGTGAGTCTACAGTTAACGACTCGCTGATTAAAATGACTCAGTCAAAGTGAATCTACAGTTAACGACTCACAGATTCAAATAAACTGGTCAGTGTTAATATACAGTTAACGACTCACTGATTCAAATAAGGCGGTTGGATTGAAACTACATTCAATGACTCACTAATTCAAATGAGCTGGTTAGAGTGAATCTACAGTTGATGACACACTGATTCAACTGAGCTGGTCAGAGTGAATCTTCAGTTAACCACTTACTGATTCAAATTAGCTAGTCAAAGTGAGTCTACAGTTAATGATTCACTGATTAAAATGAGCTGGTCAGAGTAAATATACAGTAAATGAGTCACTGATTCAAATGAGTCAGTCAGAGTGTATCTCCAGTTCACGACTCACTGATTAAAATGAATCATCATGTTAAAACAACACAAATTAAAGCTAATACATTTTCCCCATAGCTCTATAACATAAACTTGGATGATTACAAAGTATTATTCTCGAACAACATAATGGTACAGTAAGTACAATAAAATTTGACAGTCGTTTCATTTTGGAATAAATTAACCCTTTAATAATAACCCTATAATAATAATACCTGGTAGAAAGATGATGGTGGAGGCGTCTGTGTTTGGCCTTTCGTTGAAGTCCATCATGACTTGTGCTGATGCTTGACGACTGTAGCAGCGCACACTGGACTTATAGCTTAAATCTCCACTGCGGTACACAACAGCAGAGATCTGTCCATCATTCTCATTACCTGTGTATGTAGGATCCCGGAATTGCATTTTGGGCACTAAAAAACAAACAAAAATGTTTTATGTTCAAAATAATCATTATTCTTACAGATTTTTTTCTTGCATAAGATCATTTTCATACATTTTAAAAAATTATATGGCAAAAAGTCATGACTATAAATGTTTTATGTTATTTTTTAGCTTATTTTGACATGTTAATGACGTTTTAACTACATTTTTAAGTTGTGCAAAGTTAGTCAGTTTGATTGATATAAGTTAAGATGACTAGAAAAGTTCATTTGATTCAACTAAAAACGTTAAGGCAGCAAGAATTTTTTACAGTGTCATTTAAAGGACATTGATTGTATCCATATTAGGGTTTAGTTCAAGGCAACGCACAATCTGAGATGGAGTCGTTGATGTAGATTGTAGCTTTTCCTGGTTCTCCTAATATGCCGTTCATGGGCATTCGGAGAACCAGCTCAAACTTCTCCGGGCCCTCCAGCACCGGCTGTCCCAGGTCATCCAGGATTGTAACCTTGAAAGTCTGCATGTTGACGCCTGGGGAAAAGTCCAAGTTCTTGCTAATTCCAACGTAGTCCACACCAGCTGTGTTAAAGGTTTACAGAGAGTTAGTGGAGAGAATATTGCAGAAATAATAATAATAGGTCAGTTCTCACAAGTAAAGTTAGCACTTGAGACACAAAACAAACAACAAAGAACTGCGTGATTCTATTGTGTTAAATGTATGGGCTAAAATACTAAGCTTGAAAGATAATTTTTTATGTCACAATTTACAAAAATAGTCATAACTGGCAAATATAAACCAGCAAATCTCACTTTTCTATTTTGAATTCTAACTTATTTGCTCTTAATCGAACACTTGTAAGTCATATAGCCCAATTCTGAAGGGAAAATGACTAATTCCCACTTTATAACATAGATCAGTGACTTTATGTCACAACTGCGATCAAAATATCAGAATTACTTTAGAATACATTTGTATATATTTTTATTTGCTATACAGATTTCATTAAAAATTTTATTATTTAATTGACTTTTTTTACCTTAAATGTTTTAAATGAATTTTAAATTATGTTTATTGTATTGGTTTCTGGTGGCGCAGTGGGTAGCACGTTTGCCTTACAGCAAGAAAGCCACTGGTTCGAGCCTCGGCTGGGTCAATTGGTAATTCTGTGTGGAGTTTGCATGTTCTCCCGGTGTTCTCTCCTCTGGGTGCTCTGGTTTCCCCCACAAGTCCAAAAACATGTGGTATAGGTGAATTGGGTAGGCTAAATTGTACATAATGTATGAGTGTGTATAGATGTTTCCCAGTCATGGTTTGCAGCCGGAAGGTCAGCCGCTGTGTGAAACATATGCTGGATAAGTTGGTTGTTCATTCCGCTGTGCGACTCCAGATTCATAAAGGGACTAAGCCGAAAAGAAAATTAATGTATTGGTTTCTTTAGTTATGGTTTAGTGTAAATTTGCCTTTATTTGGTTGTGGTATTGGCTCTATCGTTATGGTGTAAAGATTAGCGAAAGAGAAAAAAAAGAAAGACATTTGCACAGTGTTATTTTAAACCAATGTGGTGTTGAAGTAAAAAAAAATGTATGTGTAAAATTAGTTATGTAAAATTCTTATAATTGAATTACATATTGCTTCAAATGTATTCATCTGGATGGCAATAAGTTATTCTTTCCATTTCTAAAATATCTCTTTTTTTATCCATTGTTCTTACGTAGGTTGGTCTGATCTGAGCTAGTTAGACAAAATACAGTTTAGTGTATTGTTTTATTTTAATGTAGTTATTTGTTGGACCCCAGGAAGAATAGCCACTACATTCTTAATGAACAATAAACAAGCGACCAATCATCCAATCAGTTCACGATGGACGAAATCAAGACCAACTCTACATTTTTTCTTGTTCAATAAGCTATTTTACTATTTATCTATTATAATAATAAGCAAAGGCTATGCAAAGTCTGTTTCATACTAGCCTAAAAATGAAACTGATCTTTATACCAAAAATAACACTGTGATATCTAAAAAGTAATAAAAAAAAGTAATAGTGAATATTTATATAAAATCATATTTTGAGGCTGATTTGTATACATTTTTGAGGATTTTTTTTTATTTACCTTAATTACAAACCTTTTAAAGTATATCTATTTCCTTTATTAATATCCTATTTCGACTAGGTATTTTTGCCCCCCGCTTTGAATGTTACCACCCGATTATGAGTGGTTATAAGCTGATAGATATAGGCCAGTAGGGGCCTTCTGCGCTTACTGGTAGGCTCAGAAGGCTATTATTATCCATCCATATGCATAATGAGCTATACTAATCGAGAAGGCTTTATATGCAGATCTGTTTTTACATCACTGTGACAGTTGGGTTTAGGGTTGGGGTAGACGTTAATAAAATTCAATTAATGAGAAATTTTATAAATAATATAAATAATTATTTTTAACTTTCAACTGCAGTTGTATGTAATCTATAGCTGATTAACCATGTGGATGGGTGATAACAGCCTTCTAAGGCCCCTTCTGGCCTATATCTATCAGCTGATAACCACTGATAACACCCATTCAATTGAGTGATAACATTTGAATGGGCTGAATTTTGCAGTGTATGTCATTATTTAAATAAGCTGACACTTACATGCTAATCTATTATTTCGGCTGGACTCATTAAAAATTTACAGATTCCTTAAACATTTAATAAAGCGAACTATGGTTCCAACCTGAACACTTGTGGCTGGAATGAGCTACACTGTGAACCAGAGCAGAGTACAATGTGTGCGCAAAATGTATAAACACACACTTACAGCAGTCTGGAAAGTGTTCAAAAGACTGAGCCTGTCCTGGATGTTTCTACAACATTAATATTTCTAGATCATGTTAGATAAAGGTGTTGAGGATCCTGTCAGTAAAGCACTTGTCCTGTGGCGATGTCTATTTTTGTGGGTGTTGTAAAGCCTGTGGGGCCTGTAGCAACATATTATTGTCTCGTGGTGTGGATTTCTTGAAATGCAAGCTTGAAATGTAAGTATTAGATTCCTGGCGTGTTTACGGTAATTATATATATATAAGTGCCAGTGCATGTAACACTAGGAACTGACATATGCAAACTGCCCAATACAAACCTTCAGCCGAAACAGGATCAGTCTTTCGTGACCGCACTGTGACCGTTCCTGCTTTGGAAAGGTCACTTCCTGTCCTCCAAACCCGAACTTCGACATTACCGTCACTCTCATCAACATGGTAGTCTATTTCTCCGAAATAAAAGACTGGAGCTGTTGAATAATAGAAAGGTGGTGTTATTAAATATACATAATATAAACATGATCATCGCATGAATAATTTCAAGACGCAAGAAAATATTTACAGATCGAAACAAGCCAGGCTCATTCTGAAAACGTACCCCTATATACATTTCTGGAGAGCGCCAAATATGTCCTAGGAGGTATTTATTTTAAAGTTTTTGTTTTTGCAAATCCGCCAGAGGCCGCTTTGTATGCTTTTAGAGATTTCAAATTTCTCTCATGAGGGCCATTCGCGCCTGCTGTTCTCACGTAAATCTGCACGCCACAGTCGAATGACTAACTGAATAACTGAAAAAATCGACTGACCATCCTCCTCCTTCCCTTGACCCAACCAAAAGTGTTTTTAAAATCTCCGATTGGCCCGCCCACCCACTTCCCTAAACCCTACCACAGTTTTAAAAAGCAATCCAGAAAAAGAAAAGCCCTCGTCTGGTTTTTACCAAGTTTTCACATTTTACCACATTCTCACCCTGTTATTTACTTGTTTATTTTATTTTTTGGCTTCTGTTTTTGTCTTGCTTTCTGGAACCGTTCTTTGCCAGACTCAAACACCGTCGTCAAGGTCAACTCTACTCAGTGTCACAAGACCGCCACAGTAAATGGCGAGCTACTGGACAAACTGGTAACAGCGGGTAAAGCTGTTCATACAAAGGTAAGCAGTCAGCTGGTAAGCGAGTAAAAGGAATGGCATCATATCGCCCCGTAGCATTCATTTTAAAGACCAAATGCAGCCATACGTACTTCTGGCTACATAATTCACAATCTCCAGAAATGTATATAGAGCTACATTTTCAAAATGACCCTACGTTGCAACAAAAGTGCAATTAAATTGGTTATTTCTAAAACTGTTAACATAAAAGGAGGTACATATAAATATTTCTGTAAAAATCTAGGATATGCATGAATGTCGATTGAAATCAAGTACGTAGAAAGAAAACTGGATTTTTTATAGAAAGAAACTGATTAGCTAGATTTAAATAATATAAGTGTAAAGTTCAGAAATTTTCATTGGAAATTTTTCCACATTAAAAAATAAATACAACCTCACAGTGTGTCAATCACATTTACACATGTCCTCCAAACTTTCATCTGTCATTGAAATCTTTGCAATGGGTTAGATTTTTTTCAGGTTTTTTTTAGCATCAATAGCAAGAATTTCAATAGTTTTGATGATTCTGAACCAACGTACAGGCGAATGCCAAAATTTAGAATGCATCTAACAAATTAAGCCACCTCCAAAGTGCAAAACACAAAGACAGATTGGGATAGGATCAATTCATTTCAAAGTACACAAAATTTTACAGCATCAGATTCTGTTTAGTATTGTTTTGCAATTTTTCACAACAGATTCTTTGAACTTAGTGTGCAAGGTTTTGTGTTATACTGTGTGCATGGGTTTTTGGCTTAGTGTGCAAAAACATTTAATGTACTGTAGTATGCAGTTTGTCAGTAAAGGTGTCAAATTATCCATTCATTCATTTTCCTTCTTCTTGGTCAATTTTTTCATCAGGGGTCGCAACAGTGGAATGAACCGCCAACTTATCCAGCATATGTTTCACACAGCAGATGCCCTTCCAGCTGCAACCCAGTACTGTGTAACATATATACACAATCATTCAGACATTACAGCTAATTTAGTTTATTCAATTCACCTATAGCGCATGTCTTTGGACTGTAGAGGAAACCGGAGCACTTGGAGGAAACCCATGCCAACATGGGGTGAACATGCAAACTCCACATAGAAATGCCAACTGACCCAGCCGGGACTCGAAACAGTGACTTTCTTGCTGTGAGGCGACAGTGTTAATCACTAAGCCAGAGTCTCGCCTTAAATTATCCAAAAGAAGAAAAATATGGTAAAATTTCTACACAAAGAGCTAAAACTTTAAGCTGGTAAGAAAACTGATTACTTTGCTGTTATTAGTACTGCAACTATTATTTATTAAAGCATTGTAGCTGGCTGAGGTTTTATTGTGAATTCGTTTTGTAAATAGGTTGTTTTTTTATTTTTATATTTGTCTACTTCAAAATTTAAATATATTGTTGAATTTTTTTCTACCAAAAAAAGAGGGATTTTTACTGTTTTATTTCTTTAAGTATTGTTTAAGGTTATATTTATTCACTAGTAAGCATCAAACTGGTACCAGTCATAATAATCAAACAAATCATACACTTTCAGAAATCACAAGCTGCCATTGGGGTGGTACCCTTTCAAAAGGTACACATTTGTACCTAAATGGTACATTATCGTTCCTCAATAGAACATATCAGTACCCAAACATTTCAAGAGGTACATTTAAAGTACTAATATGTCCTTTTAAGGTACCAATATGAACTCTGTAAGTAAAAGTGTGGATTCTTTGTAAAGGTACTGCCGCAATGACAGCTTGTACACCTTTATTCCTAGACTGATGCTGAATAAATGATGACAGAGTTGTCATTTTTGTGTGAATGTCCCTTTAAGAGTGAGAATCTGTCTGATGTGGTTTTGACAGAAGGTACGGAGGATGTTGAGATAGATGGGCGAGCATAGACCTGTCTGTCTGCAGTTAACACTTTACCCGTCTTACAATCCAGTGACAAATCCCTGTTCATATCTCGCTAACACCCAATGTGCTGGTGAAAGGTCTATGTCACACTCAGCTTCCAAATGTGTTTTCTTGGACGACAGCAAGCTCTGCACTGAATTTGATCGAGCAGAAGACACTGAAGGTGTTGAGGAAGATTAAGCTGCTATATGTCCACGGTAGGAAGCACGTCAAAGCCTAAGAAAACAAACAAAATGTGCGACGAGACTTTTTTCCTCTCGTTTTATTCTTGTGTGGCATAAAGGCCTCCCAGGCGATGTGATAAAAACAAAATATCAGGTTCATTTTTACCCCTAAACCAACAGTGAACTGTTGACGCATTAGGATGGAATGCATTGATGAGGTCAGATGAGGTGCTTCAGTGATGGGTTTGTTTTCATTGCAGTTTTTCCATTAAAAAGCTTAAAATAGAAGCACTTCAGCATTTCAGAATGATTTTAACCACCACTGAAGGGTTATTCAAGCTCCAGCTTGCACATTAGGAACCCAGCGAGCATGAAAACTACTCAAAAAAACTGACAGGGACAGAGTGAACAGTCTGAGTGACAGAAATAGTTTGGTGAAAAATGAATGTTTTATCAAACATTTCATGCCAGGTTTGTCATCTGAGTAAATGTTTTGTGGCTGATCACTAGATGACATATTCGAATGTTTAGAGCCGAATTTAACTAAACAGAGCAGCTGGGACATTTTGCTTAATACCTCTTTTTGGATTTTACAGGAGAAAAGAAAATAGTTATGGAACTTAAAAAATGTGCAAATAAAAAATGCAGCGGTCAACGCTTGACATTTTTACTGTGGGGAGGGGGATGGGGGGTTGGTGTTTTGTAGGTTACCCCCCGCCTAGTAACCAACAAAACACTAATTTACCTGAAAAGGTTGAGGACCACTGCCCTAGCTGACCAAAAATGAACAAATTTGTAATCCGTACTCCACAAAAAAAAACAAAAAACAGTCTTAATGGATCGCCTCACAGCAATCCTCACACTGATTGATAAAGCATAACAAATAACATGCAAGAATTAAATTGTAATTCTATATTATGTTTTCTCTTACACACCTTTGTGAATACTGATATTTTTGTTATTGAATTTCAAAAAGGGCCAATTTAAAGGCCAAAGGCTTACGCTATTTCAGTTACAAATGGCCTGCTAATAGTTTGCTTTATATTTTACATTAGGCTATTATTTGTGCATAAACATATCTAGATATAGTAATAAACAGAGACGGTGCTCGCTGCAGAGCCATTTGAGCAGAGCTGAGCTCCAGCGAGGGGGAGCATGAGCTCTCGCTCCTCCTCCTATAAGCTGTTTTAATGCGTGCACCAACCCCACCCCTAACCCTACCCCCAGTGACATCAATCGTAGAAGAAGTGCAAGAAAGGAGGAGCGAGAGCTCAAGCTCCCCCTCGCTGTAGCTCAGCTCTGCCCAAATGGCTCTGCAGTGAGCACCACTTGAATAAACATTCTGTTTGTTTAAAAATAACCTTTTTCATCATCATTACTGCAAACTTATATAAGCGATGATATCTTTAAATGTGGAAAGGGGTCTTACGATATTTTCCGGGGGAAAAAGGGGTCTCAGGCAAAAAAAGGTTGGGAACCACTGACATAGATGAATGTGGCCACTGTGTAAATGAGCAGTACAGTTACAATCTTATTGCCACATTATATTGTTATGATAACATAATATATGTCTTCAGTGAATTCCTGAAGATAAACACCAAAAAATAAAGCTACTGGAATAATTACAGCAGTCGCAATTGTCTGATCTCATATGAAGCAAGAGATCGCAATGACATATAATGACATGTGCAAATGCAGTAGTAGTGTCCCAATTTTTAGGGGTAAGTTTTAAAGCCCTTCCCCTTTATACTCTTTTTTTAAGGGCCAAAGGGTAGGGGTAGGGGTAAAAAAATAGAATAGGGATTAGGCTTTAGTATCATCAAAGAATCCTGAAAACCACTACAGTGTTATGCTATTTCCTAGCAAATAAATGCATCCTTTATGATCATGAGAGACTACTTTTTAAACCACACACACAAAAAAAATACCAAGCCCAAACTTTTGATGATAATGTAAGTGGTGCTTTTCATAATGCTGCTGATTATTATTGCCTAAGTGTGAGCAACAGTAATAACACAGTGTTCTTTGTTTCCTGTTTAATGTGCTCAAGCTACTAAACGAACAACTTGCATTAATGATCAAAGGCTAAACTTAAACTCCCCAAAAAGTCCACGTGCTTCACCTGCAATAAAGCGCACATTACAATCGTGTGAAGTTGCACTAAAGCTCTCAAGGGGCAAATATATCTGTAGGCACTGCCTAGAGCTTTGAGTCCAAGGGCGAAAATAAGCCTGAATTGTTCATGTGGTGAAAATCC